GGGATCCGCGCGACTTTTCGGATTACTATCGCCACTAATTGTTGTCACAAATCTGGCCACGAGCCACGGAGCACTGGGATTCGGTGACAATGCCTTGACAAGCGGAAAGTCAAACTGAAGGAGTGCCTGCGTCCCGAGTTGCGATTATGAATCTGAATCAGAATCTGAATCCTCTTCCAGCGTTGACAGCGATGGCAGATTTCACCCTGCCAGCCACGTATGTGCGCCCATGCCGAGCAGCCAGAGTACATAAACCATTTCGGGGTTGCCTTTCCCGCCCAGCCCTCCACTGCCGCTGCCACTGCCTCATCCTCCGCTCCACTCCCATCACCAGTACCATTACCATCTCCATCGTCATCCTCATCCTCTTGCACCCACAACCTCTCCCATTCACAATTGTTGCATGCGGACATCGAGGATGGCGCTCACGTCGTTTATGTACGGAAATCGAACTTAATCGACGAGCACTTGGCAGTGGATGCAACACTCGGGGAAAAATCGAGTACTTTAATACCTAATGGTGATTTGGAATGTCAGTGGACTACTCAACTACCTCGCTGCGCCCCATAAAAAAGAAATATCTTCTTAATGTAGCCTATTTATTGCCTAACTTACCATCAAACTGCTCTAGCTGGAACTTCAATTCAACACAATTGTGGAATACAAATTATAAACTCGTACACTAAAGCCGCTTCACCATTATCAATCAACGACTTGAAGATTTTTACATTATTTGTCTGTAATGGCTTGAGTTGTATAAACCCGATTGTATCCATTTCGAAACTCGTAAAGCTGAGGAATAAAAATGGTTTAGTTTGTGGCGGAGTAATGCATGGTCCACTTTCGTTTAGTTTATAAAGACAATACACTTTGTGGTTTGAAAGTTGCCTTACCACTTAAGGATAGCTTTTATAGTAAGTAATGGAACATTCTGCCCTTCAAACTTATTCTTTCTGTACTGGGCTGCACTTTGAATTGAAACTCACTATACATATTGGAGTTGTAGATGCAATACACCCATTTCGAGGATATTTTCTCTTAGTGGAGGACTACTGCCCCTCGAAGATCCCGACCAGCTGTTGATGGACTGCCCCGTGGAGGAGCAGGAGTGCGAGTGCCGGCGCTGGGGCGACCTCCAACATAATGATGCTTCATGTACATTGTACAACGACACACAAAGGATGTTCTTTTCAGAGTGTCCGTGGTTGCGGCGGAGCAAGCGAGACGGCACCAGGCGAATAGGAGTCATTGTGTGCAACCAATATGCGCAGGTCCAGATTGAGTCCTCAGACCCCATTCCCTGCTACTGCTCCCTGCTCCCAGCTCCCAGCTGCCTGCTGCCTAAGCCCAGACCAAGTGCTGGCCCACTGGCATAGGAAGAACCAGACGCCCGTTCGTATTGTACATAAACAGAGCAGCGGAGTTGGGTTCGCTTTGTAGTCTTTGTAGGCAATCCCCTGAAAGCCAAGGGGTGGGGCAAGGGTTGAGCCAGAAGACCCACCTCCGGCGGCCAAGTCCAATTCCTCCCCTAAACGCAAATGTGGAAATTATTTTCGAATAAGTTTGAAAACAATACGGAGGGAGGGGCGACCGGCGGCAGCCTCATTTGTTTCTAATGAGGTTAAGACCGCCATTGCTGAACCAAGCGAGTCCGATAAACGGCGTCTGATGGCGGTCTAGACCACTCGCTCCTTGCTGGCAAACTGGGGGAAACACAGGCACTACTCACTGCGGCTGCGAGTATTGCCGAAGGTCAATAGTGGCACTTTGTACGCGGCAAAAGTTGCCAGCAAAGCCGGAAAAGTTCAGCGCGGAAGCGCCCACTTTTCAGGTGCAACGCCCAGTGCAAGGACACCGAAGGATGCACTTGGGCGCGGTCAACTGTTGCTCCTCTTCGGGACAAAGGAAACTTGTACAAGGTCTGAGCTGACAATGCAAGTCCTTGATCAGAGTGGTGCAGCCCAATAAACAATAGTGAAATTATGGTATATTACAAGGAGTTTTAAAATTGAGTAAGTAATAATAGTGAATAAGTTCGGAATAATAACCACTTATCATGGACTGACTCGTGATAAAGACTCTAGGATTTCATGATTATTTCCAGAAATATACCTAAGTATATCGAAGTAAATCAGTTATTCAAACTCATTTATATTTCTTAGACTCCCGCATGCAATCGTAGTTATCTTAAAGTTTAACACCACAGTTAAAATGAATATAAGCTGAATACTCACATATGTAATTTGCATAAAAAAGTCAACATGAAATCAAGGGAAGATATTGGTGTTCCGAATGGTTCCAGTAATTCCTGAAAAAATAGTTAACAGTTTGGAAAAACAAAAGATTAAAGCAGCTGAATTCATTTTGGACTAAAATAAGGCATTCTATTAGTAAAATATTTGTTATAAAGCCTAAAGTTTGTAGCCTAACTAACAATGTGGTATGGGTTCAGCTAATTAAAAAATTATTTCCAAATAATCAAGTAACCAGTTAGGTAGCATAAAGTTAACAATAGCTATAAAAGGATACTTTTATATTACTTGTGAAGAATTTGATGACTTTGCGATGGAAAAAAGAAGTTACATTGGGAATATTTTGGTTCTCCAAATAAAAACAAATTATGATAATTAATTTAAGAAAAGTATCAGACTGATAAATCTCATAGCAAACACTCAACTCAAAATCATAATACAAGTTAGAAAAGGATTAAACAATAGTCCTTCCGAGGTATGAAAGTTATAAATAGTACATTAAAATATAATTTTGTAATGTATGCCATCGTATAAATCTTCTCTTTTTGTAGTTTGAATAAATTCACATTCAAAAACTCAAATCGAATTAGTTTACGATGCAGCGTACTTCAAATCAATCAGTGCCACCACCCAAGTGCGTTCTTTTTTCAATAACCCTTACATATTGGATTTGTGGGGGAGAGAAATATTTCTCGCACGGGTGCATCCAATATACGCCTAAATAAATATAAAGAATGCTTTGAATATTAAGGGTGATGAAACACTAACCGATTAAACTCAAGTGAGAAATGGCCAACGCTTGGGAACATATCAATTCAAAGCGCTGCAAGTCCTTTAAGATGGTTGAATCTCTAATGTCCGGTTGTAGAAATGTTTAACTCCGCGCTTCACTTAATTACTCTTATTCGCATAAATTCCTATTTACGTAACTTATATTACAGTTGATGCAGTACATTCAGTACCTGAAAGAAGAGAGGGGTAAATAGTTAAATAGGTAAAGTTAGTTAATAGGCAAAATAATGTGGATTGGATGAGAATACTAAAAGCTATTGTTGACCTAAACAGTTTCTGACTTGTAATGAATTCAAAAAATTCAGTAATGCTTTAACGTTTTGTTCAATTTTAAAAGATATCTTCGGTTTCAACTGAAACTCATTACAACATGCGTTTATCTATGGAAATGTGCTGCTAACTAATTAATTAATCCATGTTTTAATGGGGTCAGTGGAATTTGCATGACGTTGATCATATCTCATTTAAATATATTGAAGATATTTCATAAAATTAATATTACTGCAAAATATTGCTCTCATTTCATACAAAGGAACATACAAATTCCTGTTTAAATTGGGATATTAGTAATATGCATATCAATTCTCTTATTCTAATGATTTCCCTAAATACACCTAGATCATTAAACATTCTTGTGGAAATCTAAGGCTGTAGAATCTATGCCTTTCTTAAAATATATTATTAGTCCGCAGGATGATAGTTTTATGCAAATATGCCATGCAAATGCGATAATCCACAAACTAAGTGAGAAAGTAATGGCATTAGTTATGGGTTGTGCACGGAATTCCAGAACAGTACTCACCCTTAGATTCGTGTATCCTCGGCTTCACTCAATTGGGATGGCAGACGACTGATCCTGGCGCAGTCCTGGCGGCCCTGGCTCCAATCTTCAATGGCGGTGACGATGGCAATGGCGATGACGAGGTGGGTTTGGACGGGTGTAATTTGATTGTAGCTTTAACGGCTGGACGCTTCGATTTCAATTGCAACTTAGCTTTCAATTTTAATTTCAATTTCGATTGCGATATCGACGAGGATGCTTTCATTTTGATTAGTGTGCTCAACGAGAGGGATTCGTGACTAACAATTAATGGAAGGACGATTTGTGGAGTTCAACAAACAAGCAAACGTAAACAAGAGAGTGTGGTTAACAAGGCGCAGGCACGATGACCGGACTAAATGCTAACTAAACAAGGCTGCAGATCCTCTCCTCGCGCGCGGATCCTCTCCTCAAGTGGGCTGGCCCGCGGGCATATCCTATCCCGATATCTGTGCTGCCTGCTGTACACGATGGCTATATATCTCTTAGCTTCCTGCTTCGCCAGGAGCAGTCATCCTCGGCCGCTGGCAACTGTGGTCTCTCCGCGGGGAGAAAATCGTGCTGGACCGCCGCCCACTACAGCATTTCGGCTTTTCCGGGCTGCGGCACTGTGGCAAATCCGTGTTTGGTAGCCTCTCCACTCAGTTCTGCACCATTTGGGCACTTTTCCGTCTGCTGCTTCTTTATTTTGTGTATTTTGTTGCTGTTGCCTCCGCTGGTTGTGGTTGCTGCTGCTGCTGCCGTGCGATTTTCATGGACGTATCGTTGCGGGCCGTTGTGCGCCGAGTCTCCAGAACGCGGACACTCTTTCCGGGCTCTGTGGCGCCGCTTATTCAGTGCTAAATAATAGATTTATTGAATGGCAAAACAAAATGTAGTTCGACACAAATGTTAGACGGCGAGACGAACGATTACATGCTAGAGTTGCGTGGTTCGAAATCGAACTGGTTCGATATCTGGCCTCGGGGATGCCAACTCGCTTCCCAAGCTGCACAAGGTACCAGCTCGATTTTTAGTCAGCAAAGCAGAATGCAATTTGCTTTAGCGGTTCGCGTCCGCACTTATGTTGCGCCACAAGCCCCACAGGTGGCGCCAGGGCTGACCAAAGCACAGATAGTTTTCTATGTTCAGTCGACTGGCCGGGCAGCTTCAAATTCAAATCTTTTACTGCCAAATAAATATCGAATTTCGTATTCAGCATGGACAAGCCGCAGTATGCTCGCGTGGTGAAGATCCTGGGCCGCACACGCTCCCGGGGGCAGTGCACCCAGGTGCGGGTGCAGTTCCTCGGCGACCAGAACCGCCAGATAATTCGCAATGTCAAAGGACCTGTTCGAGAGGGCGACATCCTGTCGCTACTGGAATCTGAACGCGAGGCGAGGAGAATTCGCTAGGAGTGCCACTTGCGTAATTCAGCATCATTTATTTACACCTATTTCCTCCTCCAAATCCAATTTAAATAAAAGCAATTAAACAATCGACTTCCATCGCTAAGCTATCGATTGTTGGCCATCGCAGCCCGAACAGCTGTTTGTGTTGATACCGATTCCGCGAGACACTCGGATAGAGACAGATTCTCACGCTCAGATACTCAGCTACTCAGATACTCAGATACTCGTTCGCAGCGGACGGCCGAGCGGAGATACTCGATCGCGAGCTTGTTGTTGTGTGTGGCCCAGCCAAGCGAAAGTGAAAACGGAGCAGCCAGATGAACGGCAAATGAATCAAGCGAAGTAGCAACAAAAGCGGGAAATGTGAAAATGCGCGGCGCGGTGGGTTGAAGCGAGACGGGGATAGCGATGCCCGTTTGCCCGCTGTGCGTGTGTGTGTGTGCAGCGGCGGCCGTAGCAGCTGTTGGTATGTGTGTGTACCGCAAGTGCAGGAGCATTTTGCATTGCAAAAGCGACAGCAAAAAGTGCGAAAAGAACAACAAACAGGACTAAAAGTCGCGGATTCGATTCCCCGGAGAATCCCCCAGCAGTGTATATTCCGAAAATGCGCGGAAAAGCGGACGAAAGCTGCGAATTCGTTACGCTGCACTCGGACTTTTGGGGGCGCTCTGAAAAATCGATTGGCCGCAAGGAAAGTGGCGACCGCGAAATAATGGAGGCTTTGGGCTCCTTCCAGGCGGCTACACTGGTCGAAAAGTCCAGCAAAGGTGAGTCCAGTCAACCGGGCACTTAGCTCCGCCCGCAAAGAGCAGGAAAAGCCATAAAAAGTGGGCGGTAAAACAATGCAAAGTGTACGGCGCATTTGCCTGCCTTTTCGTGCGTTTGTTTTGGTTTCTTGCCTTCGCCTTCGGCACGTCAATTTTCGCCACTTATTTCGTAACAACTAAACCGAAAATACCTGTTCGACCCCACGCCCCCAGCCACCGCCCCCCGACACACCCAAAAAAGTGCCTGCATTTGCGAGTAGTGGTGGTTCCTACACCGCGAGAAATTACTGTTTTATGATGAGACTTCTTTTATCTCAACAGAAGCTCCAAGAGAAATGTTTTTCCAAGTAATATTTATTATTTGAAGAAGAAGCTCATGCATTATAAATTTTTCATTCATAAAATTACTAAACGAACTCAAAGAACTTTTATATTCCGGTGTAAGCACTCATTCATTCATGGAAACTAGTTTAAATGGTGAATTCTTAACAGGCTTTCCAACTTCAGAAGCACTTTCTAGAGGCATTCGAAACTCCGCTCAGTGCACTGCTAGACCTTTCCGCACTCGCGTTTCGCTCCCCGAATTTCAAAGTCGAGTTCAGTCGTTAGTCAATTGGCCCACTTACAATTTATTAATAAAGGGCCGAGTCATTAATGCTCATTGATTTTCCCCACTCGAGTGCGTCAGATTGACGTTACCAGGAAACATTGTAATTAGCTGCCCCTGGCACAAAGGTGCCTCATTACGTATTCCTGCGGAGTGAGAGTCCTAGGATCGGGAACCCACTGGTTTAGATTCGCCAGTCAGTAGGGTTTCATATCCCATCAATCGCAGTAGCCAACTCAAGCTATATAAAGTTGGATAGTTGGGCGCCTAGAGAACTTCCCATGTGAATTGGTTCCGAGTCCGAGGTGCGATGCCCACTTGGGAATCGAAACTGCTTTCAACTGGCGACAACGTGACTCCAAAGCAAACTGTTTAAGTTTCGCGGAAAAGCCGTAAAAACTACACATTATTCGCCAGGCTCTTCAGTGCCTCATTTCCAAATACAAGTATGGAACCTTATGTGAATTTTTATGTCTGTACATATAGTTTGTTATTAAGTTCCGACCTTGAACAGCAGAGCTGATATGAGCCAATTTCCTTATTCTCTTCCGAATCAATTGTGTACATACGAAAGTACATATTAAGGTACTTGTATATTGTATAGATGTCTGCAGCAACCAACTACACAGCGCGAAATCATCAGCTCGCATGAGTAATGATGCAATCAGCTCCTAACTTTATGTGATGACTAGTGCTGAATTCCTTTTAAATGGTTATAGCATAGCTCCAAATGGGTCAGTGCGTTTGCATCCAAAACGCCCCCGAAAACATGCGTATCTACATACGATGTTGCACGATTCTAGTGCTAGTGGCGGGTATTATCTAGTTCTTTCCCGATTCCGCCACACAAATTGCGCTTCCTCGAGGCAAAAGCGTTCCACTTGTGAAATTTCGCTGAGCCGCCCGCCGCCGAATCTATTTTTACGCCAATTGACGCGAGGCCGCGGATTTGTGATTTCAGAATTGAGATTTCAGACGCGGTCCGCCCACTTTGCAGGCTCTCTCGCCATGCGGCGACCATGTGCTCCTCCGCTCCGCTCCGCCCCTTCCCCGCCCACCACCATGCATCTGGCGAACTCTGAGCCTCCGCCGCTAATTAAACTCAAGTGCCCAGTGCCCAGTAACCAGAGCCCAAGCACGGATTCCAGAACGCCGTGCAATTGGGTTTGCCTACTCGTTACTCTTCTGATTAGCATTCCCATGCCGAGTTCCATTGGAGAACCTGCTCTCATTAGAGACCAGCCGATACACAAAGATGTTCTAGCTTACACTTTCCCGAATTCTAGCCTCACTTCCAGATTATTTTATGGTATGCTTCTGTATAGAAGGTTATCACTTTTTGGGCATTCGGAAATAAGTCTATTGTTCAAGTCAATTGCCTATTCTTAATCCAATTATGTGATAAGCTCCTTGCCAGGGATTTCCCTCTTCTAAATGAGTACTTAAGGCCTGAGCAAAAACCACTGTGCTTATCAGAGGCTGGGGATTGGGAATCTCGCAATAATTGTGGCCACTAATTTCAGATGCCAAGATGAAGGTGCTTCGCCATTGAAAAGCCAGCAGTTCTCGATTCCGGAAGCGAGGAGCGTCGCCATGTCGAAAATGAGGGGTAATTGAAACGAGAACGCCGCATAGAAAAGTCAGCGTTGCTAATTCCGTTTCCTATTTGCCGTTGAACAGGTCGCATCCTGATCCCACTGCCCAATACCGGAGCAATGGGTCGCAAGCGCAACAACTTCTACATGCGGAGTCTGTTCCTGCTGGCCCTGGGCATCTTTGGCCTGCTCCAGTACAACAACTTCAACTACTGTAAGTAGAGGCCAGTATCTCGCATCACCAGCTAATCCCTTGATCCCATCATACAGTGGACTCGCGGGACAATGTGCTGGGCGATGCGGTGACCAACGACTCGGACGATGCCATCCTGGCCATGGTGCCCGCCACTCTGCACAAGTATCTGACGCCCCACTCCCGCAATCACACCGCCTCGGGAGCAGGAGCCCTCACCGGCGCGGGTAAGCCTTCACCAAGATAGCCAAGATAGTAAGGTGCTAATCTGGATTCAATACGCCCTAGCCCTGCTCCTGAATGCCAGTAGTCCGGGAGCTGCTACTGCCAGCACCATCAGCTTCGATGTCTACCATCCTCCGAATATCACGGAGATTAAGCGCCAGATCGTGAGGTACAACGACATGCAGATGGTGCTCAACGAGGACGTCTTTGGACCGCTGCAAAACGACTCTGTGATAATCGTGGTCCAGGTGCACACGAGGATCACCTACCTGCGGCACCTGATCGTTAGTCTGGCGCAGGCCCGGGACATCTCCAAGGTGCTGCTGGTGTTCTCGCACGACTACTACGACGACGACATCAACGACCTGGTGCAGCAGATCGACTTCTGCAAGGTGATGCAGATCTTCTACCCGTACTCCATTCAGACGCATCCTAACGAGTATCCCGGCGTGGATCCCAACGACTGCCCGCGGAACATCAAAAAGGAGCAGTGCGTAGCGGTCAACAATCCTCAGGCGTCTGCTATACGAATCTCTAATTCCAGAGCTCTGATCGCCAACTGCAACAATGCGATGTACCCCGATCTCTATGGCCACTATCGGGAGGCGAAGTTCACGCAGACGAAGCACCACTGGATCTGGAAGGCCAACCGGGTGTTCAACGAACTGGAGGTGACTCGCTATCACACAGGTTAGCAGCGTACTCTCTGTATTATTGGTCCAAATTAAAGCATTCAATGCCCCACAGGACTGGTCCTGTTCCTCGAGGAGGACCACTACGTGGCCGAGGACTTCCTATACCTGCTGGCCATGATGCAGCAACGCACCAAAGACTTGTGCCCCCAGTGCAACGTGCTGTCCCTGGGCACCTATCTCAAGACCTTCAACTACTACACGTACCACAGCAAGGTGAGAACCGGAGCAGGCTGGTCCAGTACCCATACGGTCTAGTGACCACTGGCTGCGAAACTCAGAGAGCGCCTCGAGCTCATCTTATGTATATCCTTCAAGCTTCCGTTGCTACAGAACACATTCATTCAAAGCGCATCCAAGCCATCCATTGTCGGGACTCGGATGGCCAGTCATGGCGGCAAGAAGTTGCCCTAATGGGTACTGGCCATTCGATCAATGACCCGCACACACACACACCCACACTTGTGTTTAAGCTCACCATCTGACTATTGTAATTTACCATTTGTATCTGTTCTATTCCGAATTCTGGCACGCAGACTAACAAGAAATCCTATGCTTCCTCGCTGATCTCGACAAACAGTCTATTAGGATACAATAGGAATAACAATAGAAACTCTGTGCAATTAGCTGTGTCGTCCTCTTACTCCTCCTCATCATCTGCGCAATCACCACCGCCATCCAAAGTCTATGTGGGCGACACATCTGACCACCAGAGAGCCAGTGACTCCAATAGCAGGCGGGGCAACCTCATCAACACTGTCACCGCCACAGCCACCGCCACCGCCGCCACATCCGACACCACCAATAACGAGCAAAGTAGCCATAGCAGCAGCAAAAATGGTGCACAAACATGGAACTATCATGTCTTGCCGTCATTGTATTCCGTCTATCAGAAGGTAGCGACACCGCCCCGCCAGCTCCGCGGACTCCTCTTAAAGGGATCCCGGCTAACCGCCACACCAGCCGCTCCCAGCTCCTTTGACGCATCCCTGCCTGACGACCATCCACCATCCCACATCCCTGTTTGCGTAGCTAGTCGGTCCCCGTTTACCATTCTTTGTTGCATACTCCATCCATTTACGCTTTGGCAATATGTTCTGCATGATCTGTTCTATCCTGTAAACGCTATCATTCAGTTGGCAGTGATGGGAAAGGGGTGAACCATTGGAATACCCAAAATCGACTAACTTCCCACCACTGCCTCCATGTTGTAATTGTTTTGTTTAATTGTACTTGTCTATGTGTCCGTGCTGGCATGCCACATCTCCGCCCCAATCCGCTCCTGGTCTTGATTCCATCTGCCAGATGCACGCCCGCGTACGCACCGCGAAGATCGACAAGCAGAGCATCGAAAACGACTATCGCAAGGTATTTGGTATGGCGCGCACTGTACCCCATCCGCAAATCCGGCTTTCGCCGGTGAATCCACCTAGTGGTTAGTCCGGAACGAAGGAAGTGCCAGTGGAGACCGGAATTCGAACCGCGTCGATTGAAATTTGCATGCTTCCACTCCTCGCCTTACCTTTTGCTAATCCGTTTTCTATATTGTTGCTTCTCCCCCATTATTCTGCATTGTGCTTGGTTGACCTGGTTCTTCTCTTCGGCAGGTGGAGGTCATGCCCTGGGTCAGCAGCAAGCACAACATGGGCTTCGCCTTCAATCGCACCACCTGGTCAAGCATCCGGAAGTGCGCCCGCCACTTCTGCACCTACGATGACTACAACTGGGATTGGTCCTTGCAGCACGTTTCGCAGCAGTGTCTGCGGCGAAAGCTGCACGCCATGATTGTCAAGGGCCCGCGGGTCTTCCACATTGGGGAATGGTGAGCAGGACACCTGTCATCGCTTAGGAGCTCCATAATAATTCGTGCACTTCTCTCTTGCAGTGGCGTTCACCATAAGAACAAGAACTGCGAGTCCAACCAGGTGATCTCGAAGGTGCAGCACGTGCTGCGGATAGCCCGCAACTCGCACCAGCTCTTCCCGCGCTCCCTCACCCTCACGGTGCCCAGTCTGATGAAGAAGTCCAAGCTGCGCAAGGGCAACGGCGGCTGGGGCGATCTGCGGGATCACGAGCTGTGCCTCAACATGACGCTGGCCACGAGGTAAGGCCAGACGGCCAGGGAGTCAGGAAAACCGGGGAGCCCACGGACTGGGAACCAATCAGTCAGTAGCAAGGAAGCCTAGCTCATAGCGTTATCTAAGTAGGATTATTAAGCAGTAGCCTTAGACAATGTAAACGAACATTCAGCAAGTACTCTGCATCAGCTAACTAACCGAAAGTAATCAAAGCCAGAAGTCAGGAGCGGGAAGCGGGAAGCCCAAAGACCCTCGCCTCGGGCGCTGCACAACTCATACTATAAGTAACCCTCTAGTCACACATTCAAATGGGATCGCCGTGTTGTAACCTCCTACCTTGTTCCGTTCGCCCTTCAGTTCGTCGATAATCACTGGTAGTGTTTAGGCTCCGTCCAGATCCGCGGACGGGGTGGCACTCCTTCAAACTGAAACTAGAATCTAAACCTACGAATACTAGCGATACACCATATACATATATACTAACTCGTATCCCCAGATTGTGCCGAAGCCGTTTCGCAAGCGGCCAGTTAACTTGAGTCTAGAGTCTAGAGGCAGCTAATCGCATAAACTAGTCATAGCAATGTACCACATGCACATGCGCTATAATACATCATAGATCAAACTTTTGATATATCTACGAGCCTACGTTCTAAGTCTGTACATAGAGGAATTGCGTTGTATACATCACATAAGGTCTTTTTATGATATAAACGCGGAACTAATGTAATTTGTTATTTTTAAATCGTTAGTCCAAAGCGCTTTTATGTATTAGGAATTTTTGATTAATCGAACGAATAATCCTAGTGAATAAATGCCAAGTAAATACTCTACCAGTATATACTTTAAAAACCAGACATGTGGGTTTTTCGTATAAGCATTGCAAGGTTTCAAAAGTGGCGCCAAGCAACCCTGGCACTAATCGGTTCATCGATAAATACCGATAGCCAATGTTGTCGAACTAGCAGTGCGTTGCTCAACACAGGCAGCTGGTAATTTTTGAAACTTCACAATTAAATGTAGAAACAATATAGCCTAAAATTCCTTAGCCCTAGAACACATCGACTAACAAAATGAGGAGTACATCTACGTGAACACAAATTGAAGTGGAAGCGAAGAGGAGTGGAGTCGGAGCTCGGGGGGATTGGATTGTGATCGGAAGACAGCTTTCGCCGCAGAGCTTTTATGGCGTTTTTGTTTGGCGAACCAGTTGCAAATTTGGTGCCGCAGCGGACGGAACTCAGCACAGCAGTCTCTCCCCAGTGAAAACCCACCACTCATCGCCTCCTGCATCTCGCGGACTTCTCGCTTAACCCTTTTCGACGTGCGTGCCTACAACAGAGTACTCAGTACACACTACCACCACACAGTTCACCATGAGCAAGCAATTGGCGCGCCATGTGGGTCAGCTGAACAGCCTCCTGAAGACGGCGGCCACCGCCTCCTCGGTCTCCGCCCACAACAACTACTTCACCTACGTGCGGGAGCTGTCGCATCCCATCGCCCGGGAGCCTCCAATCGTCAAGGCGGAGGAGGCCGTGGCATGCGTGAAATCCGGTGAGTTCTCCTCTATCATCTGATCAGGAATCCCCCCGCTTTCCTCTTCCGAATGGAACGGGCCCCCCTTATCGCGCGCTGTTTGCAATCTTTTGGTTATGTAACCTTCTAGTGGGCCTGCTTAGGAAAACAGAATGAAAACGAGAACACCGGGTTGTGGGGCCATGCAAATGTAAGCCCATGTGTGCCCGCAATCCAAACTACTTTCGAGCACATATGCATGTATGTACATAGGGAAGGGCATTCACAGGGTGCTCAGTATATGAATGGTTGGCATTTAATTGACCGTGATTAGGAGGCACTCGTGGGCATAAGAGGTGGGGAGCCTATATAATATGCAAGTTGGAAACAAATATTTAGGGTATTGTATTACCTAGTGACAGGGGATAGGTTTTTTGTATCAACTAGCACTCAGTTGATTGGGGTCTAGTATGATAAATAGGGAAGTTACACAATAGGAAAATCACATTTTAAGTAGCTGCCCTTATCGAAAAGTAGCCATTCAAAGCTACTCCCCTTCTGGCTATCAGCAAACCTTGTGTTATTTGTAATTCCTGTTGCTGCAGCAGCACAAGTGTAAATTATATTAATTTAATCGCAAAACAGCTGAGCGTGGCCATACCCAGTACTTATTTATACACATTTATTAATGCATATACTCAGCGCTGTAGATGAGTTTCCAGCAAATGTTGTACTTTGTACCCAGGCCGATGCAAAGCTCAGCTTAGTGGCAAGAACGACCGCGTATGTAGCTCATAAACACGTCTATCCACTCGACCGGCCTTTGGATGTGGTGCTGATAAGGCCCACTCTCTGTAGGACCCATATACCATATACTATAGTATTTAGCAGCTTTATAAGAAGGCAAGGTTATGCAACGAGTATCAGCAGGTGAATTATGGCAACATAATCAGGGAGTGCTCCAAAAAAATATTCATTAATTTCTAACAAGCTTTTTCTTATCACAACGATATATGTATCAGTTAGATAATTTCTGTGTCAGTATAAAGATAGCAATCATCTGATTTTTGGACCCCTATGCTCTGATTGACTTCAATTGTCCCAAATTTGGAGGCAATCTCCTGAGGTTCTGGACACGCCCTCGGCACCCGCTGAAATCTCAATTTCTTAGCACTTATACGGCATCTCATCAGCAGGTCCATGCAAATTGGCGATATAGCGGCGGGGGGCGGGTCTTTGGAGGGGGAGTGGCACAGCGCAGCGGGCCCAGCTAAACGTCACCCGAAATCGGTATCTCTAATTTTAGCCAAAATCACCAACACGAGCCATGCCAAATCTACGACGTAATTCGATTTGGAAAACTTTTTCGGTTGGCACGTTTTTGGCAGATAATAAGTGGTACAGTAGGCACTAACTAGCTAAACCTATGCGTAAGATACGCATATTTGGGTTTTCAAATTACAGCAAATATCTTAGGGAAGTATTGTTTGTGGCGATAGTGCAGCGTCGCGGAGAACTTGACCATGTCGACGTGGCTCAAACGTCTGCCGATAAGAATCCCACTTATCGCATGACTCCCCAGCTGAAGGGGCTCGCTCGTTCGACTTTATTTGCCCATTATTTTCTTTCTGTTCCTCATACTGAAGTACCTCGGAATGCAGGCCTCTACAGGGCGAAACCGAAATAGATTGGCCAAACATGATGCAAGTGCTCAAAAATGCATAAGGATGCTGTTTTAGAGATGCAATTCGGATATGTACCTATACTATATCTCTAATTTTACAGACCTTCATTACAAGAACTCAAACGACAGCTATTCTATTTTATCATTTGTCCAAACATTTCGATTGAAAGCTACAGTTGTCTTACGCAACAGTCCAATCAGATGCTTTTTGCTGAATTTATGTGCCTCTGCTTTCCGCCTGGTTAATCAAATGGCAAAATCTATATGTATACTCTCTGATTATATGCAATCGCAATCCGGCAGAACTCTTGTTTGCCATGTAATGCCAACTGGGAAACCGGTGTTATTTATTTACAAACATTCATTATCACGCGTTTCTGGGCAATAAACGCTCCCATTCGCATTCTCACTATCACTCTGCCTACTAACTAATATAAATTAGTACATATATGTATATTAGCTATAGCTTTAAAGCACTAGAGAGTAACGAACTTAATTCGCGTTGAACATTCAGAGAGGAAGTGGAATGATCAGAGAGAAAATTTCAGAATTTCGGCACAAGTCGTTTCGGGAAACAATTTATAGACTTCTTTTGTTACTCAATGAAAGCATGACCAGCGCAATATTAAGCATGTAAATAGTAATGAATGATATACAGAAATAGCATTTGCTGATTAAAGCTTTGCAGAAAGTTATATTACTTTGATTAATAACTATATATATTAAATGATCAAATGTATACTAATTTCAAAACAAGTTTTTCGCTTAGCGTTCCATTGAACGCTATTCCTAGCGGGATAATTTTAGTACGATGTGCATTAATTGCCAGGTCAGGATTTTCTTGAGTGGATGCGGCCATGCTCTTCAGATTAACATCTTATAAAAGTTGCTAGGAACATGAGACCAGAACCGGTAATGCATCAAAACAGTTCATTAACTGATAGTAGCTACTGGTGATTTCGTTATCATTTAACAATTAAAGCATCATTAACTAGGCAACATTGAAAAGCTTTAATTGTAGGCCCTCGGATAGCATGTCATGCAAATCTGTAGATAAGACCTGCCGAATAGATTAACGTTTCATAAAGTGTACAATATCTGCGTATTGGCCGATTAGCAGCGTGTGCCTAATAAAAGTATTGGTAATAAAACCTGTGGTTTTTCGCCTCCATTCCAGGTGACACGGTTTTCGCCGGCGGAGCAGCCGCCACGCCCGTGGCTCTGCTGAACGCGATGGCCAAGCACGGAAAGAGCAACAACCTGGAGTGCGTCACGGTGTGCCACATGCACACCGAGGGTCCTGGCGAGTACGCCAAGCCGGAGTACAAGGACCACTTCCGCTCGAACTCCTTCTTCATGGGCGCCAATGTGCGCAAGGCGGTGGCCGAGGGCCGTGGTGACAATGTGCCGATCTTCCTTCACGAGATCCCCCAGCTGTTCTACAAGCAGATCGTAAAGCCAGATGTGTCCTTCATCCACGTGTCGCCCCCTGATAACCACGGCTACTGCTCTCTCGGCACCAGCGTCGATTGTGTGCGAGCTGCGCTGCTGAACTCGAAGCTCATTGTTGGTGAGTTGCGAACACGAGGAAACTCTTTTATCGTGGGACTTATGCTATTCCTTTATCAGCTCAAATCAACCCCAAGATGCCGCGCACCTTCGGCGATGCCGTCATCCACAAGTCTCACTTCGACTACGCCATTGAGGTGAACGATGATCTGCCTCAGCACGGAACTGGTGAGATTTCGGAAGTGGAGAAGAAGATCGGCAAGCTCATTGCCGAGAACCTCGTCAAGGATGGCGCCACCCTGCAGATGGGCATTGGCAGCATCCCCGACGCCGTTCTTGCCGCCCTGCACAACCACAAGGATCTGGGCATCCACTCCGAGATGTTCGCCAACGGTGTCGTGGAGCTCGTGCGCAAGGGATGCGTCACCAACAGCAAGAAGAAGATGCACCAGGGCAGAATCGTGGGCTCCTTCCTGATCGGTGACAAGGCCCTGTACGACTTCGTGGACAACAACCCCTTCATCGGTAGGTTTAGACCTGAAACACTAAACTTGAATTCAAAATGTATGCGATATGAGCACGATCTAATGCCTCACTGTCCGTCCACCTTTCAGAGATGTACGCCATCGACTATGTAAACAACACCAGCATTGTGAAACAGCAGCCCCGCATGACGGCCATCAACAGCTGCATTGAGGTGGATTTGACTGGACAAGTTTGTTCAGACTCGATTGGCTCCCGATTCTACTCCGGATTCGGCGGCCAGGTGGACTTCATTCGCGGAGCAGCGGAGGGTCTCGATGGACTGGGTGTGCCAATCATTGCCATGCCATCGACCACCAACAAGGGCGAGAGCAAGATTGTTCCCACGCTGAAGGCAGGCGCTGGCGTCGTCACTTCGCGTGCCCACGTCCACTATGTCGTCACGGAGCACGGAATTGCCTCGCTGTTCGGCAAGAACGTGCGCCAGAGGATGTACGAACTCATCCAGATCGCCGATCCCAAGCACCGCGAGTCCCTGGAGAAACAAGCCTTCGAGCGCATCAAGGTTATGCCCTCGCCGAACTAAGCACTGAACTCCTAGAGATCACTATTTACTAGCAGCAACCCGCAATCTTTGAAGGCATTCCCGAAATCGCTCTGATCCACTTCATAGGATTGCAATCATGATAGCCCTTTAGCATTACCAAATCTGAAATTTCAATTGATGAGTAACGAATTGATGGGAGAAATAAAACTGAAATTGATTACATCTATGGTTTCAATAAACGAACAATGTGTACTAAACGGGAAAGATAAGAATAAGATAGCAGTTATAAGGCGCTTCCACTTCAGTAAAATGCAATAATATTATTTGTATTCCGACGACAGTTTATTTTCATACTGCAAATATGAAGGAGGCGCGTACAGGAAGTCCGGCTTAGTTTTAGTTATACTTTAATATATATACAAATCTGTGTGTTCGATTAGTGTCCGATCAGCCAGTCCGATCTGCTCCCAATGAAAGCGGACCTCCTGTCTGAGCGACAGACCATTCGCTGGGGATAACACGACCCGAGCACACAACGTTGTCTTTGAATTGAATGTAAAAGGAGCTGTTCAAAAGGAACTAGATTGTATTCTCAGTATGCATCGTATTGTAATATAGGGCCTAAAACTGTTTTTGCTTTAAAATCTACACATTCATAGCTTAAACCTCGATGGATGATTGCGGTCAGCAGTTTACTTCTTCTTGTTGTTCTTGGCATTTTTACCATCGGCGGCGTTTTCGATCTTGGCGCGCTTCTTTGGGTGCTCGTCCTCCTCATCCTCAGCCACATCGTCCTCCTCGTCATCCTCCTCCATGTCGACCACCTCCACATCGTCCTTGATGTTGTGCCCGTGGATGTAGACGGGTCCGCTGCCCTTGATCAGCTTGAACGTCACCTTCGACTCGTAAAACTCCACGTCGGGATTGACGGCGCGGGTCTCTCCGGCCTTCAAGACGGCGATGGGAATTTGCACGGAGTCCTTGGGTGTGTTCACCTGCGTAAAGAAGAGGTAAGATTCGCAAGTTAGATAAATTCATAGACATTTTAATTGGTCTTGAAATAAATACAAGTTAGACATGTTTCGAAGGTTATCTATCGTTCAATTAGATAGGAACATCAAATGGCACATCTTTCCCTGTTTTTAACTGCGTAAGATTCCTAGCCAAGATTGACCCATATAGATCCCCGTCATAGGCCTTTCAAGTAGCCAGAGATAGTTGTTGAATGCCCCGATTACACAAATTTCGGATCTGGCGAGCAGATAGCGCGAAGTTCATCACGACTGGCCCACTTAATCGCTCTGCAGTCTTCGTCTCTATCTCTTATCGTTGTCAGCCGAACAACACCTTCCCCAAAACTAACTGAACTGAACTGTCCGATGATAACTGCCTACGCATTCATATATTCGCACAGTCGCTTTCAGTAATAACCCCGTCGACTGGCGGCCGCTTGACCACTCGTCTGCCCACGCTGGAGTGGATCGGATCGGTTCGTTCCCTTTAAACTGCAGCCAGGCTCAACTGAACCGGAGTCCAGCAAGCGCGAATCTAACAAGTGACCGCTAATTAATCATCCACAACGTGTAATTCAAGTCAAAACTTCCTCTAGTATTGGCCGATCGTAAAGTGCTTCAAAGATCTTGTCGACATGCGCGATAACGAAGGTAAGTGGAGAGCGCGTTTCCTCAAGAGGATAAGTGAAAGGAAAGTGATGCGAAGGGAACTACCCCTACTACTATAAAAGCAAATTTGAGTATCAGGAAATAGAAACTATTACTCAATGGCAATATATTTAGTCACGAGAATAAAAACTGTTTAATTGCTCTATGATAAATGCTATAAATAAAGAACAAGTTTACCTAAAAGAGTACTATACATTTAAACGAAACTAAACAAAGGATAAAAATGTGTGTGCTTTATTCATGGTAAATACTCGGTAATGAGTCCGTAATTAGACAAGAGAAGCCGCAAGATTGTGTTATTACGAGCTCCGAAAGATGAATTATCAGTGACAAGCTGTCTTCCTGTGGATAAACGTGTCCATCAAGCACGAAGGGATCAAAACGTAAATTTCCCCCGTTGAGTAACATAAATGCATTAGGCACAAACTAGCCAAGGATACTATAAACAGCTCAGTAATTATCTAGAATATGAGACACCAAAACAGAGGCGGGTTCAAACTGCTAACATCAAAGAATTGTCAAGAGACTAGCCTGCTGCCTATGGATGAACTTGTCTATCAGCTTGTAGACATCATTGGTACTTTTCCAGAAGTCACAAGACCACCGCCACCGATTCGCAGGAAATCATAGAGGCACTTCAGATCATATGCAGAGATTGTGACCTATTCACATAAATAGCGTACATAAAAGAGCGTTTTTCAATCAAGTAACCCACTTAACAGCGGCCATATCAAGATTTCAAGGCGGCCCAGGAGAAACACCTACTCAATAGCCCATTTGTGTTTTCCAGATGATCTCTATCGGGAGCGCCTGCCGAATGTTTGCGGCTCCGTGGGCTCAAAGGCGAGGAGCTGCTGTAGCATGCGTTCCGTGCACAGATATCTGCCCGTCACCGATTGGCTGCCCAAGTACCAGTTGAGCTTCCTGGCCATGGATGTGGTGGCGGGTCTCACTGTGGGCCTCACAGCCGTACCACAGGCCATTGCCTATGGAGCTGTGGCCAATCTGCCGCCAGCCTATGGGCTCTACTCCGCTTTTATGGGTGGATTTGTGTACATACTGCTCGGAACCTGCAAGGACATCACAGTGGGTGAGTTGTAGAGCCTCTGGAGCTGGAACATAGCTAAGTAACTCAAATCGTTGATCCACAGGCCCCACGGCCATCATGGCGCTAATGGTGCAGCCGTATGTGAACGGCAACCCGGCGAATGCGGTGCTAATATGCTTCCTGTCCGGCTGCATTATCACCCTAATGGGCCTGCTCAATCTCGGAGTGCTCATGCGGTTTATATCGGTGCCGGTGACGACGGGTTTTACGATGGCAGCCGCCTTAACCATTGCCACCGGCCAGATTAATAGCCTCTTTGGCATCAGCAGTAGTGCCAGTGGGTTCCTAAACAGCTGGATATACTTCTTTGGGCACATAACGCAAACACGCCGAAATGATGCCATCCTGGGCTGCTGCACACTTGTACTCCTGCTGCTCATGAGGGTGGGTAACTATAAAAAACCACCTTTAAAGCCACAAATTGCCTAATTAGAATGTTCGATTAGCGAGTCCATTAATGTTTGAATCACTTCAGCAACTGAAAGACCTGCCTTTTGGCTTCAAAAGCGTGTGGAAGTATATCTCGCTGGCCCGCAATGCTGTGGCCGTGTTAATTGGCATACTGCTGTGCTATCTTCTGAAAAACGATGGCAAACTACCCTTTCTAGTGAGCGGCAGCATCACTCCAGGCCTACCGCCCTTCAAGCTTCCTCCCTTTCGCACAGAGGATCCTCAGACTGGAGAAACCATCAGCTTCGGGGGCATGATTTCGAACATAGGCACTGGCCTGGTGTCCATACCACTGTTGTCTATATTGGAAAGCATAGCTGTGGCCAAGGCCTTCTGTGAGTGCGGTTAACTATTCAGTTTATAGCCCATAACTTGAGCTTCTTCTGCTTTCAGCAAAGGGCAAGATAGTGGACGCATCGCAGGAGATGATTGCCCTGGGCGTCAGCAACATCCTCAGCAGCTTCTTCTCCTCCATGCCCATCACCGGATCCTTTACAAGGACAGCCATCAACAATGCCAGTGGAGTGAGAACCCCGCTGGGTGGTGCGGTTACCGGCGCTCTTGTCCTTCTGACCCTAGCCTTCCTCACCTCCACATTTGCCTACATTCCCAAGGCGACCCTGGCAGCCATAATCATTGCAGCCATGTTCTTTATGGTGGAGTACGAGACCATTGGCGAGATTTGGCGGGCTAAAAGTGAGTGTTGCCTGGCATTGGGGACCACGTGTAGTCATAGTAACTATGGATATCTTGCAGAGCGCGATATGCTGCCTTTCCTGGTGACCGTGTTGACCTGTGTCTTCTGGACTCTGGAGTACGGCATGGTGGTGGGCATCGTCTTCAATGCGCTTTTCCTGCTCTACAAGAGCATGAAGCCGCAGTTTTACTTGGCAACCGAGAAGGTGAGCTTGAAACTTTATAGTACCTATGTGTAGGGCCAAATAATCCCAAACGACTATCCACCTAGTTTAATGGCGTCGAGGTGACTATGGCCGATCTGAAGGGCAGCGTGGACTACTCGGCAGCCGAGTACTTGAAGATGTCGATTGTGTCCCACGTGACGCAAAAGAACTGCGAGGGAGGTGTTCCCACCACACTGGTGGTCATCAAGGGACACGAGATCGCCTCAATTGATACGACCGTGGCTTTGGTGAGTGCCAGTTTTCTTTGTTGCGAATTGTAACCTTTAACCCCAAGCCTCTTCTCTTTCCCGCAAAGAACCTCAAATCGCTGCGCGAAGATCTCTCCCTACTGAAGTGCGACATGATCTGCTGGAACTGGAGTATTCCGGCGGCGGGAGTGGTTTGCCGGATGGATGGGAAGCTGCGCAGTATGTTCAAGTTCTCGAAAAGCTTTCCCGACCTAATGCAAACAATTGCGGATGCCGAGGCAGCCGATTCGTGTATCGCCGTTGACTTGAGTCAATAAAGAGTGCTCTTTTGTCTACCGTATATGTGTTTCTGCGTACAGTTGCGCCAATGAAATCGTTTTCGAAAGGTAATTTGGGGTACTTCAATTATGAGCATCTTGATGGTTATCACCAAGTTTAGGTACAACTAATGAGCAATTTTGAATAGGTTAAGTAAAAATTAAAATCTATTTTTATGAAAAAAAAAAAAAAGAATATTAACTTTAATCAAGATGGATTTTTAAGGTTATTCTCGAATGTTTGCTATAAAGCGGCTCCTAATAATATACAGAATACCTAAGTAGCTTCTTGTACAATAATTCGGATTTTCTTAACGACCCCCGATTTACTAGGAGACTTGTAAGGTACCTACTACTTCTTCCTAAGTACCTAGATTCCAAGAAGAAAAATGTACCTAGAAACATGTACCATCGGAAACCGGGGGCTGGTTACTCGGCGGCCATCTGCAGAGGTACAGACAAAATTACCCTAGCCCACAGCGAGCGAAAAGTTCGAGGTTGTTCTGGTCTGGGGAAAAATGGAAACCGGTCCCTGCCCCGCCGGCCGGAAAAATGCAGCAAAAAATGAGCAAAAAGTGAGAAAAAAAAAAGAGGAGGACACCAACCGGCGCGCGCATACACAATTTATGGGATTTACTGCGTGCAATGCCCCGACCCCCATGGAGTACTCACCTCGACCACGTTGAACTCGTTCTCCTTGGCCTCAGCGCCCAGGAGGATCTGTTTGATGACCAGCTTCTGGCCGCGTGCGTAGTCCTCGTCCACATCCCACGTGACGCTATCGCTCTCGGCGGTCAGAGTGACTCCTGCGGAACGGATATAGTCGCCATTATACTTCTCAATTTGTATCTTTTTCACACATTCAAATGCTGGGGTTTGAGGCCAGACAGACACACAAATTGGCCAGCGGCAACCTTGGAGCAAAAACACCGGCAAGCGTCGCAGACACTCAGCCTTTTCGGTGGTAAATACACCTTCTCCGCGGCCACTTTTGCCCCGCTTCGGTGCATATATAGTTGATCTGCTAAATTGTAATTACCGTAGAATGATTCCTCAGCCATTGTAGGTAATATTTAATATTAATTCCACACAAAACCAGAGGCGAACACGTGTTGAGCAAAATCTTTTGCAAAATGGTAGCTGCCGCAGGGTTGCCAGGCCAAAGTAGGTTGCAGATATCGAAAGGTGTTACCCTAGGAGTCAAAATCGCAGGGCTGCCACTTTTAGTGTCCAATCGAATGTAGCACTCTATATTCGTTTGTTGCAAGTTTATACCTGGGTGATATATATATACAAAAAAATTCAAGGCGGTATTACCTTTACTTTCTAGCTCCCAGCAAATTGTATTAAAACTATCGATAGTCCTGCGCTTCGATAACCACACCGCTCAACGCTTCACACAACTGCAGCCATCGCCGTTTTACGGGCACGTGTAGAGTACAAAAAGTTCCATTATTAATTGACTGTACATCTGTGTTCCAAGGCCTGCAAATGGAGTCCGAGTCGTTTTATGGTGAGTACCAACGCCATTTGGGTGGAACGGGCGCTCCATTGGCCATCCCAGAGCCGAGCTGCGTGCAGCTCCTCCAGCCGGCAAAAAAGCAGTCGGAAATCCAACCCTTCTCGCCGTTCGTCCACTTCCAGGTGTCACACTCAGCGAGAAGGAGGCCATCGCACAGTTCGAAGTCCCTGATGTACCCGAGGAGTATATCGTCCACTCGCACAAGCTCATCATCAAACAGATTTCCCTCGGCCCAGAGGCAAAGACCGGCGAATTCAACGTTGTACAGGTGAGCCTCGATATGGAGAACCGCCGGTCGAAAATTAAAGAACGACGTGGTCGATTTTAACTGCATGTGCTCATAAATCCTCTAACAGTGTATTCAGTTTGCATATTTCTTTTATAACGCTAGTCACCTAAAAAAAAAAAATGAAATTTCGACTATCATCTCATATTTCAAGAAAAACTACGAAATTAGATAGTGATAAATTATATACAAATTTAATATTTGTCACCCAGGCGGAGACGAACATAAACGACGATGGCGAGAAGAAGACAGTGAAGATTCCCATTGCCGTACTGAAGGTCGGCGAGACCCGTAGCTTAAGACCAAACGTAGAGTTCCCCAACGGATCAGTGACCTTCAAACTGGTGCAGGGAACTGGACCCGTCTACGTCTGCGGCAAGGTGAGCTCTATCCATCCATCAACTTTGTGTTCCTGTTTCTTACAAGCTTCAATACCCTTAGGTGGAGATGAACTTTGGCGAGTTTGACGACGGTCAGATTTACGAGGAGTATTCGGACGAGGAGGAGGATAGCGAACTGGAATTCGACGAAGATGCAGCTCCTCAGACGAACGGCAAGAGTAATAAGAAGAAGTAGAAATACATTACACTCCAGTAAGCTAACTAAATGATCCGAAAAAATAAAAAACTTTAATAAGGTAACGAAAATAAAGATAGGAGCGCTTTTCAAAAGACTTCAACAATGTAAAGAAACCCCTATTTGAAGACACCATCCAATTATAATGACCTTTTTGCTTTTGGTCTATATTATTATATGGAATTTTATTCAATCTGTGTTGCGTATGTTCAAATATGTCACTTAATGTAAACGAATTGTGGCAGTTTTGAGAAGAATGCTCACGGAAGAGTAAAACAAAAGGAACCCACTGGGTTTTTGTGCTAGTTACAGGCTCGGGCCACCGAAATCTTCTGGCGCGGCACGCTGAAAGTGCAGATTGGTTATTAGTACATCATTATAAAATAGTAAGGTACGGGTCTACCGTATGTGAATCACTCGACGCCTCTCGTCACTGGGATGTATAAGGTCCAGCTTCTGGCTCCATTCAATCAGCTTCATTTCGTGGCGCAGCTTCTTGCGGTCGAAGTAAGATATGACGCAACTGATGGGTATCCAAAATACTGCGGTAACGAGGACAACGGCCACTGAATATAGGAGGCAGTATGGATTAGAAGTGATCTTCAAATATTTATTTAAGATTGCAATACTTACTGACAATGTTGTCCTTGAGAAACCTCAGGGTCTTAGCCACATTTATCTCCTCGATGATGTCCCAGAAGCGCTCCACGACATCCTGTATGGTCTTTTCGCATACGCCCTGAAAGACATCGGAGTTTAGCATGAGATTAATGTCAATCTAAGGAGTGAAAGCACAAGCATACCTTATTGCAGAATCCTGTGATGCAGGGTGTGCCATCAGGGAGGACATCAGGTGGCTCCACGGGGAAGCAAGTCTCATTGATGCTCATGCGACAGCACCGCTTGCAGGCATCCGCGATGATATCACACATGCAGCTCTGCAGACCCTGGGTCTCGCAGTACGGCACACATTTGCCATTCCGGCACTGACCGCGCTCCTGGCAGGTGGTTCCGTCCGCCATGGCCGGGGATTTGGGGCACTCGGCGTGGGCGCCGGTGCAGCGAGCCTCCTGCTCGCAGGTTGCGTACTGCGCCTCGCGACACTTCATTCCGGAGGCCATGAACTGGCAGTTCTGGCAGCACGGCGAATTCTTGTCGCTGCACATGGCCCCTTGGTTCCGGCGCAGCTTGCAGTTCTTGTCGCAGCACGAGTCGTTGTCCTCGGTGCCCAAAAGTCCAGCATCACACTGTTCATCGCCCTCGACTCGCAGGTTGCCGCAGAAGGACTCTTCGGGCTCTGAAAAGCATCTGCCCGATTTGGCTTGCAGCACTTTACGGATGGAACGCAGGGAGCACGGGGAGAATTTCTGGTAGGGAAATAGAAGTCATTGACTATTTGTACAGGGTATTGTACTGCAAAACCCTACCTTATTGTTCACATCGTAGCCACTGACAGAGTACGTATACATGAGGAAACTGCCGCCTTGCGAAGCGCTGGGTGAGCACTCTGGAATGTCGGGGTCGTGCTCCGAGCCCCAGTTGTGTCCAAACTCATGGGCCGTGACCAGGTCGGCCTCCCTGGTGATGACCCGCTGACCATAGTGGTTGCGGGAGCTGCTCAGACCCGAGTTCAAGTACAGGGTGTAACCATTTTTGAAGTATTCTTGGAGATGAGAAGGAAATAAGTTAGTTTGGGATACAAAACTATAAGGGTATACCAGAAACCTGAGATTTCTGTAGCACCCTTTGAAAAGCAAGCTGAAACTAAAGTATAAGGACAACCAAGGAAACGAAAATCTATAAGCCAAATGAAAAGGTCAAACATGAGAGACAACTGGGTGTAGCAACCTGGAGTGCAAATGCCGCCCACGGAGTTGCGACGTGGGGAGCCCACGTAAGCCAGGCCCAAAATGCCGCCTTCGAACTTGAGATCGGTAAAGAGATGGGCAAGGCAAAAGTCTTTGTGGCTGTACTCCCGGGAGAAGACCTAGCCGGTGAAATGGCCACGGAGGAGTCGGAATTAAAGTGAGAGATACAAGAGTTAGATGACCATGAAGTAGAGCAGCTACACGAAGAGTAAGGGGTCCAAGATGAAGTCAACTCACCTCCAGGAGATTGCGCACGTCCCACTTCTCACGGATCATATTGTAGTGGGCCTCGCCTCCTCGCAGTCTCGTGGGCTCCGAGTGCACCACGATCTTCTTGATCACGAAGCCCATGCCCTTGAATCCCTCCTGATCCGAGCGGTCCTGCCACACAGTGTCGTTGTAGATCTTGTGCACCCGATCGATGAGGCTTATCTGAAGATTACAAGTTACTAGGTGATAGAACGTGGTTTCCGTAAGGAACTCACCAAGTAGTTAATGGTGGTCTTGGTGTTGCCTCCGCCCATTTCCTGGAAAAATCGATAGTCTGCCACCAAGAGCAAAGGACACCGGGTCTTGGTGGGCGTGTACTCGTACTGATCGGACTGACGCTTCTCCCTCGTGTGCAGCTCATTGTCCAGCGTATCACCGTGCTCCTTGTCCTCCAGCTCAAGACCTTCCTTGATGTAGCCACAGGTTTTGGGGGTGGCACCCGCCTCGTTCTTGTGCACCTTCACATCGGAGGCCTTGTAGGCCACCATGGTGTCCTTCTTGGCCTCCGGCAGGTGTCGCCAGGAGGGCTCAATGTGATAGGTTTCCTCTGGCAAGTGAATGGACATGGTCATGGTGCCGTCTTCGATGTGGGCACGCACAGAGGACTCCAGTTCGCCAAACACCCGACCCGAATAGAAGCTATCGTGATCTGCGGCGATTAAGTGCTTAGAAATATGCTATGGAATTATAGGAACTGTCTTACCCATATGCACCACCGTTTCGTTGCCATCCGCATCCACGGCGTAGGCCCTGAATTTGCTGTGCAGGACATCCCTGTGCGGGTGCAGGATCAGCCGGAAGTTCTTGCCCAGTGTGGTGAACTCCACCTCCTTGATGATGTTGAAGGGATTCGTGCTGTGCTTGGCACCCCTTTTGACCACCCTGTGCACCACATCGTCCTTGTGGAAAATTTCGTAGTGGCGGAGCGTCTTTTGCAGGGCCGCTAAAGGCGAGAAAAAGGACACTACATCAAGATCCTGGTGTTTTATGGACTACTCCCTGTGCTCACCGCAATTCTCGACGAAAAGGCAGGCGAAAAAAACCGAGATTATTGCGAGACCACAGCCACTAATGCATTTTGTAAACATTTTTTTTCGCCCGCTATTTCTGCATTATTGATTTTTACCGTTTGCAGTGTAACCGTCCACTTAACCGTTAGAAACGTACCATTGTTTGCAATAACGGTAGCTGAAAGATCCTGTCAAAATTCGACGATCTGGCAATATTGCTGATTTGAATTTAAAGTGTTGCGTTACTTTTTGATGAAATTATTATTTAAATATAGTTTTAGTTTTAGAGTATTTAGAGAAGTACTCGAGATACTTTGTTATATTTATTGAAGCACTTATAATTTTAAATTGTTTTATAATTTATACCACTACTTTCGGTGCGGAGGAGAGCGAGGATCTGCGACCGCCGGAACAGGAGCCAGTTTGTTATCCACACCGTAGAACTGGCCATTCAGACTCTTTCGCCTTGGCTTGGGCATGCTAAAAAAAGAGTATTATTAACAGAGTTGTCTTTCTAGAAAGTTTTAGAAGATAACCTACTTGCTCACATTGGACCCATACAAAGAGATGGTTACGTAGCTGCTGGGAACATTATCCAAAAACTTCTGAAAGCGACACCGCATATATTTGTTCAGGCGACAGGAAAGATAGGGGGT